CGCCACGCCAGAGATATATCCGGTGGCGCAGAACGTAAAGCTCTCTAGTTCTCCAACTCGTTCCATTGCGCACGCGCATTCTTAATCTATTGTGAGATTCTGTTTTGCGCCTCACACGGTATTAACAATAAGAACAATGCAAATTGTTGATGGACTGACCTTACGTTTGATACATTTTATATCTGCCATTTTATTTCTTCTATCTGATATTTTTATCTAAATGTTTTCTTGTGTCGATAGCACCTGTTTTTCTTCCCTAATGTTTGAGAGATATTTCTCTCAGCGTTTAAATTACTATTACATTTATACAACTACGATTAAAGAAAGCTATAAATTAATGTTATTTGCGAACGTGCCTTAAAAAAATAATGAATTATTATTTCGATGCATGAGGTGAGATTGCATAGAGAAAATAATTTTTTGTGATACATACACACAAATAAACATAATCGTGAAATATAACAAGAATAGGCCTAAAATATCAAAACAAGTTTTCTATAAAGTGTCCATTAATTCATACATTTCTGTAATTTTAATTTGTGTCTTTCATATCTTGTACATAATTTAATAAAATAAATATATATTTTTTAAAAGTCATTTTATACATAAAAGGTAATGTTTTATTTATTAATGTAATGTGTAAAAAATGTATCAGTTTTAATATATGAATATATTAATACAAAACCGATACATTTTTACACACAATATTAATGAATAAAAATATTACTTTTTACTTAAGTTAAAATCTGTTTGCTTCTTTTCTTTTTACTTTTGACTGAATCTTTTAACAGCTAGCGTATTGACCCAAAAAACGAATTTGCACTAACCTGGGTTGAATTAGTGACTTATGCTCTTCTATTGGTAGAACATGTGACGTCAACCAATAGTAGAACATTATCCAACCCAATCGATGCAAACCCACTCTAGTCAAAAATGCTATTACAATAAAAAATAATCATAAGTAAAAGAAATATATTTACCTTTTTATATATTTTTAAGTGCATATATTATTTGAAACAATATTTATTGATTGCAAAATTAATTATCACTATGTACCGATGCAATAGAATTTTTATTTTATCATATATTACATGTATATTTAAGTTATACGTTTGGTTTTGCATGTAATTATCGAATTTAATTTCAATTAATCTATAATAAAATGTGCCGATTTTACTGCGGATTTTCTTAACTACGGTCGGTATTCATAGTTGGTTCTTATTTTAAGACTGCTTAAGTAATATCTTAAACTACTAATATTAGCTCGTCTGATTGATTCGTAACATTTTAAGACTGTATTTAAGATCTTAACAATCTTAAATATAAAAACTAACTGAATGAATACCGGGGCTAACGTACCTTTTTTCTGTACTTCATGGAAAACATATATGTGTAATTCATTTTTCTCGTGTCATTCTTTATAGAGCGCCCACCTGTTTAATTCCTCTTCAAAATAAGTATATATTTCAAGATGCATGCATTCCCGTGTTTGTCTAATCCTAACATTACACCCTTTTGTATCATTTTCTACTTTTCCATAAATGAAAACTTATGCTTTATTAAAATGTTATCTTTTCCTAATGATTTTTAATTGCAAAATTAAGTTATTGAAATTTATAATTAAAAAACGGTATAGATATTTATTATAAAATATATAATATTATTACCTTTCTTTCTCTCTTTTATATCTATCCAATAAAATTTATATTACTATGTGGCTAGCTTCTTCTTGTTTGTTTGTGTTTATCACTTGTACGGTCTTACAAAGATTTTAATATTTGTTAAAATTTATATTGATTTTTTATTTCAAAGGTTTTGGGTTTATTTCAAAGGCTAACAACTATATATTGTTAGTCGTATAGTCGTATATTGTCCATAAATTTTCAATTAATTATATAATTTTAATAGATTTACTGAAGCCTGCAATGGTTTCTGTGTAAAACGATGTAAAAGAATATTTTTGTTTATTAAACCAAACTCTAACGACGTCGATAATACAGAGATACTCTTCAATTCTAATTGTAAGTTAAGAATATAATCGATAATAGCAGGGTTGGCAGGTAACGCGTTATTCGTAACATCGTTACTTTCTTTTTTCGGTAACAAATAGATAAACGACGTTACGTTTTCTTAGGAGTAACGTTTATGGTAACGCAGCTACATTTTTTGGCGTAATGGTAACGATTTCACTATATTATATACTTTTATCGTTACTTTATTTCTAGCTACATAAAAATTTTAGTCGTAACCCAATGAAAATAACAATGAAATCGACATCGATTCGGTATCGATTCCATTATTATTTCTCACTAGGAACTAGAAATATAGAAAACAGAGATGCGTTAAAGGAATAGGTTTGATTGGCTTTCTTAATCACGTAATCACGACGTCTTTTTTTATATTTTTGTCACAGTTCACATGTATGGGCTACGTTCCGTTTCACGCGTTATGCGTGATGCATGATGTATCATTTTATCTTTCTTTAATATTCGGTGAACAAAAAAGGATAAAATAATGTATCGTATATGTATATATGATATATTCTATTTTTTGTAATTTTTATATTTTAAGAAATTAAATATATTATAAAGATTTATATGTGTATGTATGTATATATACACATATATATATAATATTATATATTGTATGTATACAATTAATAATTATATATACCTATATATATATATATATATATACATACATTTTTTTAGCTTTAATCCTCTACTTAAAAAATAGAATTTTGATATCTTTTTTACATTTATCAAAAAAATCTGCACATAATATTTTATTAGTGTTAAGAAAAAAGTAACGAAAAAGTAACTCATTCGTTATATTTTGAGTAACGATAACGGTAACAAGTTACTTTTGCAAATCAATATCGAGTAACGGGAACGAGTTATTTTTATAAGATAACGTTGCCAACCCTGGATAATAGTGATATCTTTAATTTAATGACAGTATTTTATTAACTGTTTTGGAATAAAACTTCACTCCAAAAAATTTAGAAAGTGCTGAATACTGAATTTAAAATTTTGATCGATATAATGATTTTGTTAAAACGCAAAAGAAAACATTTTCAATAACTCACAAACTAGCGTATAGATAGAATTTTATTTATATAAAGAGAAACGAATATATTTATATAATATGTATATCTTTTATTTTTATACATATAATTTATAATTCATTTATTGACGTTATTAGGTAAACGATAAAAAGAAGAAAATTTTAATGTAAATTGAAATTTTTTTTCAGCAAAAATTTTTTACTTTACACAAAAGTGAGTGACAAAATTACTATTTTAACATTGTTAAATGTAAATACTTTAACATTGTTATATAAATGTAAATACTATTTTAACATTGAATTTTCACTCTTTTGAAATTAATCGAATTATACGTTTAAAGAATTAGCTATTATACTCGATCAGGACTAGGCAAAATACATAAAAAAAACGTAATGGAAATATAAAATACGAAATACTAACAATTTTTGTATTTGAATTACAAAATACAAAATACTCTTAATCTTTTGATTTAAAATATAAAATACAAAAATATTTCCAAATTTTGTATTTCAAATACAAAATACTTTTGTTTAAATAAAAATACAAAATACAAAATTTTTATTTGAAATACAAAATACTGTTTTTGAGTTAATGTGCAGTAAGAGAATTTATTTAGACTTAATTTAATGGATTTATTTCAAATGAAATACTAAAAAAATGCTTTAATATTTGATCCTAATAGTCTTTAGGTCTATTCTTTTTGGCTGAACTTCACTCGATTAATTGAAATGAATAAACTAGACTAGATGTATAGTCATTTTGATTTATATAGCGAAGAACGTTTTCGCGGGGCACTCAACAGATAGCACGTCTTCCCGCGGCGTAAGAGAAATTCAATGTATATATAGCTAGGACGGTTAAACAAGTGCTTAGTTCTATGCATTATATAATACAGATTATCTATATTGCACTAACTATTTACATGTACAATAAAACGGATGTGCAGTAAAATTCATCACAGCAGCACTGGTTCAATTATGACTAATGTTTAGAGTGAAATTTCAACTCGTAGTAAAATTTTACTGCTAAAAATTTAGAGTAAATTCTTTTAATAGGTTCCCAAAATAAAACTTTTTTATATAAAATACACAGAATGTTTGATATTATAGATGTAACATTTTGTTCATGGTTAGGTAGGTAGGCAGGTAGGTAGAACGGACAGAATTTGTAAAATTTTATTTTATGTTACGGGTGCAGAGAGAGAGAGAGAGAGAGAGAGAGAGAGAGAGAGAGAGAGAGA